CCTTGGCCTTGGCCTTGCCTCGGAAAATTTTCCAAGTCCTTGGCCTTGGCCTTGGCCTCGGAGGCAAGTCCTTGGCCTTGGCCTTGGCCTCGGGTTGCCGGTCCTTGGACACATCCCTGATATTTTTTTTTTTGTGATAATGTACATACACTGCATCCTAATCATCCTATCATTCTCATTTTCACAAAAAGTATTAAAAAAATAAAATAAAATAAAGCAAGTAAATCTTTAACCTACGGTGGCGTGTGACCTGCGTCACCGGAAGTTGTTAGCGCTTAGCAGTCTCCAATTGCAGCTTGTGATCAGAGCTGTTGCGCTATATCTTTTATCGTTATCATTATTCTCATTCAGAGTTTGTTTCGTGTCCAATTCAGCGAGGGCACGGGCAAAGAATAGAAATCTAGCTTCGATAGTGAACAGGCTGCAAAAGTGCGTCGCATGCCTCCGTGTCAGGCTGTTGCTCATGATGGCGTGCGTGTGTATGTGTGTGCGCGTGCACGGTAACGGGAGGTTCGTTGATCGAAAAGTCGATCTTTGGTCCAAAAAGATTGTGCACCCCTGGTTTAGACAAAGAGAATGTTCTGTCTACAACCCAAATGCAAATATCAACAGAGTATCACTGAATTTATGGATAGGCGCTCAAAACTGGTGTTCAAAGTCCCAATGAGATGCAGCACAAAGCGAATGTACAAGGCAAATATTTTTTTTATTTGGTGAGGGCAAGAATATCATTGCGCTAGACTGCACACACAGCCCGAAAGCCTGTCAACAGCAAAGCATAAATGCTGATTTTTGTAGGAACGTGTTTTTCTGTCTTTATCCTTTCCAGCTTTGTTTCTCAGTAGGGTCGCCCCAATCCGATCGATGTGATCGGAAATCAGGGGTGTGTGAGATTTTCAGCTGATTGGTATCGGCTGAAAAAGATTCGATTTTTAAATACTGTATTCTTAGTTTAATTCAACAATATCATATTTTAGTTCTTTACTTGATTAGAACCACTGCCGATTTACAGGCATATACATTATCTTTATAAAAATAAATAAATACATACATACATACATACATAAATAAATAATAAAGAAAGAAAGATAAGTGAGACAAGTGGGATGTGGTCTTTTTCTCCATTGCATTGCACCGCATAGGGATTGGATGTTGGGACTTGGTATTGGCTGAAACTCAAAATCAAGCGACTTGGACTCGGATTCGGGTGCAAAAAATGTGATTGGGACATCCCTACTTCTCGGTCCTGTTTTTGTAAAGATCGAAGGAAGGGGCGTGGCCTGGACGGGGCGTGGCCGGGACGGGGGCGTGGTTACTTACAAAAGTGGCACTAAACATGCTGAAGATGAAGTGTATTAAATTTACACAGTTTGAAAATTGAACAGAAAAAAATCCCAAGATCGCCACTATTCTTTCAAGTGAAAATTTGTGCAATTTTGCCTATGCATTCCTGGTGAGCAAAAATATGTAACTCAAAATTTGCTGCTCAAAATCAAAACAAAAAAAGTAAACACATCCCCTGCCATATTTAAGATTTGTTCATGACTTGTATTCATAAAGTGTTGTGTAAATGTGATAAAAAGCTGTTGATTCTTACCTCATACAGTGATAGTGAATATTTATTATGCATACAATTTATTATGCATAACCGTGCTTTATTATCCAAGACAAAACGTGAATTATCAATATGAATATAAAACGCAAATAAAAACAAATAAATGTTATCATGCTGTTGCTACAAATGCATACCAAATAAAATTGAAAATATCATCCTCGTATATTTGAATAAAAAAGTATATACCT